TATAACACCCAGTGCTCCATTCAGTACGTGCCCTCTTTAATACCCATCACCAGGCTAACCCATCCCCCACCCCTCTCCCCTCTACATATTCTTCTGTGTTTTCCTAAGGAAAAGGCAGAGGCAAGCAAATTGGACATCACTGGTTTTCTCTTCTTATAACTCAGATGTCCTGTAATGCATTTTTTAAAAGACCTTATTCATAGTTCAGAATCATTCATTTATTAATTTCCCTACTTTCCTTAAACCCCATTGTCTTTTAATTTTAAGAGAAAAAATTACTTCACTTGGACAGGTCTCACAGCCATTTCTAAAACTTATCCAACATGTGTTAGATTTAATTAGAGCCATTAAAGAATAGGTTTTTATTTAACTAGATAATGGATTTAACTAAGATTGTCCTATTTTCCATACATTGATTAACAGTTTTCAGATAATTGGTAGACAGTAAGATTACTCTTAACCAGTTCTGTACTGGACATAATTAGTATGGTCTTTGATATCTCAAAAGTACCTTATTTTTATAAGGTTAAACATTACTAAGTCTTGTGAAAATATAAATAGTAGAACTTTCTGGGAATTGTATTCTACATAAACACTGAGTTTCCAATAATAATGAATGTTTACCAAATTCAAGATTCTCTGTAAAGGGCTTTGAATTAAGACTAACTTGTAGATATGTTTAACAATAAGTAAAGCTTAGAAAGGGAATCAGAAGCGAGGAAAAGCTGGTGCTGTGGTAAAATTATCATTGGTAAATATTTTAGTCCATTTACTTCCTTTCTGAATATGTATATCAACCCTGTTTATACTAATCTAGTGTAAATGAAAGTGATAATATGTTAAAGGTTTAGAACATGTAGAAGGCACCGAGTCCTATGTAACCTCTCCACCATGAGTGCCTGTGAGTTGGAGCATTTGAGCAATAACCTAAAGAAGATACATTCTCTCTTATCCAGTTGTTCAGTTTTAAGAATCTAATTGATAAATTATATAATTTCCCAAATAAAATATTTTAAGAGATACTGATATTTTGCTCGTTAAAAACAAAAGTTTTGTTCTAACGCATTTTTTAAAAGTGAATTTTTCCTTGTGCTATATCAGAATATAGTAGCATAGTAATTTTTACTAGTTTACTTTTATTTGGAATTCTCCTTTCAGTTAAAGACTTTATAACCAGACTTACTGATAATGTTTGAGAAGTATACTGATTATCTTACGTCTTAACCTAAGAATTTCAAAATAGTCTACACGTTTACTTGATGTTCCCAAAGCAGTTAAGAGAGGATGTGTTAGCAAGAGGGAAACTGGTTCTGTAGGATTGGTAACTTGCTTATGACCACACAGTCAATCATTAGTAGATAAATTTAAGAACAGAGCTTGAAGGGATAATTTTTGCTTCTCTCTACTTTTATATATTTTCAAAAATTTTGACATTGAACACTTTTAAGTATTTAGAATGTGGGTAACGTAAAGAATGGTGCTCAGGTTTTGGTGTTATCCCCGTGTTCCTCAAGCTAACTATATTGACCAGAAATACCAACGTTGCTAGTACATCATGTGCGTTTCATGTGTGTTTTAGCTTTCTGTTGTAATTACTGAATTTGTTTAAATGTTTATTGTTCCCTCACAGGTGTTGGATCCTGAACAAAACCATAACTTCACAGATCATTATCTAAATGTGGCCTTTGACCTTTCCCAAGTTCTTTTTATAGCTACTGCCAATACCACTGCAACTATTCCACCTGCCTTGTTGGACAGAATGGAGATCATTCAGGTCCCAGGTACCTGATTCATAAATAAAATCATTATTTGATAATTTTTTCCTTTCTGAGCAAAACCCTTTAAGTTGTGCTGTGGAGATTTGAGTAAAAAGTTGATTTGCCAGTGTATGACCTTCAAAGTTCTAAGTATCGTATAAATCAGCTTTTATGTAAATTCAAAGTCTGGAACAACAAAACTTTGTTTTAACCATGACATATAAGATTATGTGTATGTTCTCTAAGACATCGAGAATAAAATTTGCATAACAATTTCAGACTTAACTTTGCATTAAAAAATTCTTGACATTAAAAAAATGTTTTCCAATGTCTTAGAAAATAAGACATTCTTCTTGAGACAATTTCTAAACTTATACAAAAAAATCATTTTTTTTTCAAAATGAGTGTCTAAAAACCAAAAATAGATCTTTACATGGTCAATTTAGCTTCTTGTCTATAAGATTTTGAAGTTTTTACTATGTCTGAGAAAGTGTTATCATTTATTCTCATTAAGTGAATGAGGGTCCTAAAGAGTTGCTGAACTTTATTACATCTGGCCTCACTTTTACATAAAAGTGCAGGGGAGGGTGCTTTTAAATTCCTCTTCTTTTTAGTTTCTGTCAAGTAGTTCCCTAATTTTTTTCTTTTTACCATGTCTTCTCCTTCACTGTAGTGTGTAAGATAAAGTCCTTTAGTTACTAACACTAAAAAACCCCAGTGTTTCCACTTTCTTTTAATTGCTTAGAATTATTTTTCCCTAGAGGGGTGAAACATAAGTGGGTATTTGTTAAAATGAAAATAGACAAGAATCAAAATATATTTTGATTCTAAATATAATCTAATATGTATTTCATACTAATTTGAAATAAATTTTTACTATCAAGTGAATGATAATTGCATTTCTTAGTTTTCTGTGAGCCCTGCAGGTTCCGATACTTAGTTTTAAAATATGGAGTAAAAAATTGCTTTGTGCATATTTATAAGACTAAAATAGGGGTGCCTGGCTGGCTCAGTCAGTTAAGCATCTGCCTTCGGCTCAGGTCATGATCCCAGGGTCCTGGGATTGAGCCCCATGTCGGTCTCTCTGCCCAGTGGGGAGCTTCCTTCTCCCTTTCCCTTTGCGACTCCCCTTGCTTGTGCTCTCTCTCTGTCAAATAAATAAATAAAATCTTTAAAAAAAAAGACTAAAATAAATAAGTAATGAGACCCAATTGCCTGGAAACTCCCAGTTAAGGCAGGAATCCATAAGATACACTGACGTGAAGTAAAATAATCTCTACAGCTGCTGTACCGGTAGACATATGCCATTCTCTTCCTGCAGGTTTGATTATCCCATCTTCTGTTTGGGCATTTCTTATTTCCTTTTTCTACTCAAAAGCTGCCTTATCCGTTCATCTTTTTTTTTTTTTTTTTTTTCTTGTTAAATGAGAAGGGGGCAATTAATTTAGGGAGAATTTTTTTCTTACAGGATTTGAAGACAAAGTAAATCTATATTACTGAGGCTTTCAAATAAATAAGAACATAGTCTTTTAACTATATAAATTAAATCTATAATTCCAATATGTATAGGGAAAAAACTTCTATGGGGGTGTCTTAGTTTCTGTTTTGTTGCTTAAATTTATAGCCAGGGTTCTGAAAATAGCTCCTTTGCAGCTCTTGCCTTGGAACCCACCAGTGACTTACTTGAATCCTTTGTTGTTGTTGTAAGTTGTTTTACTTATGTAAGAAATTATGCTAAAGACAAGAGCTGCATTATTTGCCTGTTAAATAGTAAAAATTCACATTTGAGTTAAGGAGATAATTATCTTAGAGATTTGAGAGTTTTCCTCTTCCTTGAGAGATACATTATTTAATCAAGAGACTTTCAAACTTGTGCTTAGTAAGTGCTTTTTTTATTTGTGGACAAAGTTGGAAATTTTAACAATTACTAATTGGAGATTAAATTTCTTCTGGTTATAATCTTCGTTGAAGTAACACTTAAATTCATTCTAAATCCAAGATCCATTAAATCTGCATTTGATTCGTTTAAAAAAGCATGGCACTGTGGAAGCTGTGTGAATAATTGCAAAATAAGATCACTTTTTTCCTAGGGTATACACAAGAGGAGAAGATCGAGATTGCCCACAGGCACTTGATCCCAAAGCAACTGGAACAGCATGGACTGACTCCTCAGCAGATTCAGATCCCACAGGTTACTACTCTTGACATCATCACCAGGTTAGTCAGCCATCCTGAGGCCTCAGTAATATTTGAGTCTGAAAAGGAAACAGTTTTACTGGCAACTCACAGCATCCATTTCTTTCTCTCCACCAGATTCCTAGCAAGCATTCCCATAACTTGATTTACACAGGGCTCCATATTAGGCAGAAATTCATAGGGAAAGTACTTAGAGTATCTTCATAGCTGAGGACTTTAGTTGAGCCAGAATTTCAGCTTTTTCACAAGAGTGGTGTTAAGGGATTCACTTGATAAATTAAGAATCAAAAACAAGGAAAATATTGAGACACCTTATATGCCCCAGGATCTTAAAAGTTAAATTCTCTTAAGAATTGCATTGTTACTTTGAAACACCTGTTTTAAGTTATTCAGATTTTCTTTTCTTCTCCTTGAGAGATTTTAAAAATCCTTATAATTTTCATTTTTGGAATTAACACCAGAACGATAGAGAGGGTGCTTTCCCAAGTTAGCTACCAAGTGCTTAAGCCTTTGGCAAGCAGTACGTAAATTATCTGAGTAGAGTATTGCTTTGTCTGATTTATAGATTGCATATTTGAATGGAAAATATACCCTGTTGAGAATTTATACCTGCAACAGCCTCTTACTTTTCCTGGCTCAGCGTTACAGATCCATTGCATCATCTGGCAAATTGTGTCAGGCTGCCAAACACTCCTTGCGCAGTCCTCCTCACAGTAACTGCTGTTTTTCTGGAGAAGCAAAGTATCTCTCCATTTTGAACTTTGACTTAGAGTTTGGCCAGTCAGACTGCTTTTTGATCTAAGCCAGCCTTCTTATAGAAGTCTATTTGGAAGTCTATTTAAATTTATTCACAAAACCGTAAGACTAGATCTGACCTGGGAGTTCCTTTGCTTAACTTGTGATTCATTGTGTGGATAATGCCAGGAGAAATAAATTAGGTGATTTATATGCCGAAGTCTTCCAACAATAATATTATTCCAGATAACACCCCTGATACCTTTGGGTAACTTTCAACAAGTCACTTAACCTTTTTGATAGCTTCCCCATCTGTAAAATATGAGTGAGAGAACAAAAATATCTGGATCGAAATAATAATGACTTCAAAAAGTAATCATTATTTGTATTTCCCAGTTGTTGCTTGGAGAACTCTTTCTTTTTTATATATGTATTAGCTCAAAACATCAAATATTAAAAGCTGTGGACATTAAGAAATGTCTGAACAGTTTTAATATTTTTAAAAACAGCACAGGTATTTGCTACTCCAAGCAGTTTTGGCTATTTGATTAGTTACCGAGATTAGGGTACAGTTTTTCATCTTTTGATGTGTTTTTCATCTTTTTGTGTGCCATAGTCGTGGACCCATAATGTTCAGGAGGAGGGGTGGGGGTCTTAGATCTCATCTAGTCCCACCTCCCTCCCTGTGTACCTAGCCTACTTGAGTTCTTCCAGTGCTAGATGGCTCACTGCTGTCTACTCCTCTGTAAGTAAATAAATTGTTACAAAATAATCTTTATGTTCACCTCCCTATAATTTTCTAGTTGTGCACCTGGAATCTAAGGGTGTACAGCCCTTCTGGCATTAAAAAAAAAAAAAGTCAGGTCCACTTCCCATAAATGTTCTCTTTCTCAAGCTAAATATTCCTTTTCTCTTTACCATTCCTCTTGATCCACTCTCAAGGCTTCACCTTTCTGATTAGTCATCTTCTGAATGCTGCCTGTGAAATCAGTGTCCCCTTTAAAATGAAACACAGAGTGGAGCTCAGTATTTCACATGTAGCCTGAGTAGTTCATGGTATAAGACCACCGGCTTTCCTATTTTGATTATATTATTTTATGACTGTGTCTCAAGACTCTTAGCTCTTTTAGGTTATTCTCTTGCCTGTTGCATTTACAGTTACTGAACATCTTTAGTTGTTTTTCATATGAATTTCTGCTAAATTTGGTCTGTCTCATTCTGTACTTTTAGGGTAGGGTTGAATTTTATAAAACCCAAATGTAGAAGTTTGCAATTACGTATATTTTTTTGTTGGTCTCAGCTACTGTGGCAGCAAATGAATTTTTTTCCATCTTGATTATCATTAGTTTTAGGTCCTCTAGAAATTGACATATATAGCATCTTCATGCTCATGTCACAGATAGGAAACATCAGCCACTTCTTATGAATACTGGTGATTCTTCCCTTTTTGGTTTAAAAATACTAAATAGGGGTGGTTGTGTCTCGTTTCTTTCAGTCAGCTGTTAATGTTATACTATCTGCATTAGCTCCTGACCCATTATTCTGACAACCTTAAAAAAAAGAAAAAAGAACAGTATTTCATTTGTGTTGTTATGGATGTCATTATTTCTGAAAGTTTATTCTGAACTTCCTGGTATTATTTCTTCATGTTCATGTCATTCTCCTGTAAGCTTCCTCAATCCCTGTTCTTTCATCTTTTGTCCAGACCTTTAATCTGAGCTCATCAGTTGAGTTGTCTAGAAAGTTACATTGGGTTTTTGTTTTTGTTTTTAGATGTTGGTTTGTTTATTTTTAACATGCCCCCCTGTTTTCTTCCTTACTGAAATTATATGCAGTTGTGTAATAACGGACTTTATGCTTACCTCCTCCTATCCCTTTGATTGAAATGAGTTTTACTTTAGAGTGTTTTTGCCAAGAGTTTTTATTTGTCCTTTCTCAGAAGTTTTGAGATCTGATTCCCTAAAGTCTAGAATATGTGTCTGAGTGCCTAATCAAATCCAGTTTTTCAGATAAATCTATATTCTCTATCTGATGCTACCTATTCAAATCCATTCAAAGCTGGGTGGCCAAAAATGGCTGTGTTATATAATGGTTTATGAAGTGGCATATAGAATTTGAGTCTAACATAAGTTTTTTTAAGACAGCTCTGCTTAACCACATTTAGAATCTTCTTCACAAATTCACTATGCTTATATCAGCATATTTTCCTTCTTTAGAAGTCTCTAGGAAAATACACTGAATAGAGGTGACTAGCACAGTTCCTAGTAAAAACTAGATTTCTTTCTAAGATTAATTTTTGCTTTAGTTGGGACAATTTTATTTTTCTGATTCTTTCAGCAATATTTCAAGTATAATAAATTCATGTAGAAATTTCTTAAATTGACTAATTTTGCTTAAGAAAGCTCTTACACATACCATCAAGGAGTAAATGGTATCTTATGTGCTGCCAAATTTACTTTGGCAGTATAAATTGAAGAACCAAGGATTTGTTTTTAAGTATAGGATAATAGTTAAAGATAAAAATCCCTATGAAGGGGAAAGTTATAGCTGAAAATACATCTGAATATTTAAGAAATAACAGTACTTTAATGAGGAATTTTTAAATGTGAGGAAGTTAGTACTTAAGAAAATGTAATGAACTTTTAAATGTATACTGTTTCTTTAGTATAAATGTTAATCATATTATTTCTGTTTTTACAGGTGGTGGTCAGCCAAAAATAAAATATTTTCCTTTGATGACAGGTATACCAGGGAGGCAGGGGTTCGATCTCTGGACAGGAAGTTTGGGGCCATTTGCCGAGCTGTTGCTGTGAAGGTGGCAGAAGGACAACATAAAGAAGCCAAGTTGGACCGTTCTGATGTGGCTGAGGGAGAAGGTCTGTGATGTTGATCTGGGGCTCTTGGGCTTGGTGGTAGGAGTCAATAGCAAAAAAAGTTGAATGTGGAGGGATGGTGTTGGGTAGCCCTTGGAGCAGTGGTACCTACTACTCCACCAGTAGATACATCCAATGAATAAGTAATAACTCAACATTGATGTATTTTATCAAGGGGATTCTCTTTTACAAATAGTACAGAGTTTCAGCTGGAATAATACTCAATATCAGTGCTTTAAGGATATCATAAATTTCTCCAGATTTATGATGGTGTGCTTTATGTATGGGTTCTGGTGTTCTCTTTTTTTCTTTCTGATCCAGACTGTTGTAAAGTCTTTCAGTATTTATAGCATAGAAAGTTATTACACCAGTTAAAAATCCAAGTTGTCCAAATACTGCAAGGGTAGATCTTTATACTCTGGAAGAGCTTTATATGTCATAATTTGTTTTCCTCACACGTTTTCTTCGATAGGTATACAATTAAAATGTAATTAAAATTTTTTTTTCTTAAAAAAATAATGTGGAGATGGTGATAGGGAAAGAAAGGGAAGGTTTCTATTCCTAAAATTAATCAAATGTGAACATTTCCATTGGTACCCAGTTAGAATGTTTTAACTTCTTGCTGCAGACGCATACAGGGTCTCCGTTCATCATATCATGCTGCTGCACAACTTGCCAAAACTTGCTTTAACAAACATGACTTGAGTAGTAGGGAATTGAAATTTTCTATAGTGAAGAGGTTTATTAGATGTTCTGCCACTTCCATAGCTCTTTCTAGAACAGTATGATGAGTGCTGTTGAAGAACTGTAATTTGTGATACACTTAGTGGAATAGATGTAAACATCTTCCCTGTTTTTCCTTCTGTTGCTAAGCACAGTGCATTTTACACTTTATCATCAAAAGAATGGACTTTCATATAATCCTCCTATTGCCAGTATGATGCTTCACCCCTGCTCCCACTGTGCCAAGAACCTCCCTGGTTCATTTTCTCCAGGGAGAAATAAGCTTCCCATCTTCTGTTGAACTGGAGAGGGGTGGTGTCCTTGCTATATGGAGTGGGCGTAGGGATCTTAAGCTCTAATTGTTTCTCCCACAGACTTTAACATTTTTCTGTTAGTACCATTCTTCATTGATATTTTCAGGGGTACCTCAAATTCCTGAGCCTTTATAGCATTTTATGGATAACATTAAGGTTTCTCCTTTCTCTAGCCTAAATGTTTGTTCCTTCCTGTCGACCCACTTTCTGTTTTCCAAAATATTGTCAGCATCTCTGATTAGCTGTTGTCTTCTTTCTTACTCTTTTTGTTGTTAAGGGTTTGTACTTTTTTAATTTCTTAATTGTCATTTTAGTAGGATTTGGAGAGGAAGTTTAAAGATAAACACATGTTCAGGCCATCATTTTCAAAAATCTGAATTTTTAAAAAGTGCCTTAGGTGAATGATAGCCTATCAAGAATGGAATTACTGGCGTAGCTGACAGTGACAGTGGAGAACTGAGGTATTTTTCCCCTTCTTCTCTTTCTAAATATAAGGCCTAGATCCTCCTGAATTTCCCCCTTTTTATTCTAGAACACTCCCTTTGTGCTGTGGGCTGAAGCACCTGAGCCTATGTCTTTTTGTTCTAGGCAGACAGTGAAATGAGTTTATCTAGTTATTTTGGAAATTGTGTTTAGGATTGAGATGGTATGTTTGGGGATTTATACAAATATATTCAGAGGGATTTGTTGCCAAAGGAAACTTCCCATAGTTATGCAGCGCTTAATGTTTATACATATATCCATTAGCATATTTCCAATAATGTCTGTGATCATATTAGCTATTTAAAGATAACCCTGAAATATTCAAGAACTCGTTCAAACAACTTGTGAGCTATGTGGGAACATGCAGTTTTTCATGGCAACATGTATTTATTTATTTGTTTCTAAGTTTTTATTTATTTAAGTAATTATCTACACCCAATGTGGGGCTCGAACTCAGGACCCCAAGATCAAGAGTCACATGTTCTTCTGACTGAGCCAGGCACCCCTGGTTATTTTTTCTTAATCCATGATTCACAGAACAAATCTCACATGATAACATACCTAAGCAGATTTAAGTAGTTAAGATATTACCTAGGTCATCCAGATAAATAAATAATTAGGATAAATCCTTGTCTCTTAATGATAGTTTTGGTTATGGTTCTCATTAGAGGCCTATGGACTCTAAGCTACTTCTAATATTGTAAGATGCCCTTGAGTTTACTGTAAATGACTCCTCCAGATTTTAGTAAGATAATTATAAGGTATCTTGAAATTAGTGTTTATCAACTCAACCAATCCAAAAGGAAAATTCCTACAAAAGGGTCGGTAACAGGTTTTTATGCTCTAAAGTTCAAATGGCTTAATAATTGAAAGTTTCTCATTAAGAAATGAATTCTTTAAAATTAGAGTATAAAATAGGACAGTTGTTTTAGAAATTTCAAGGAATGTAGTGAGGGAGTTATTTTTAATGTTAAAAATATTGCTGGACTTAGAGTTACTGCCAGGAAGAAAAGTAATTTCAGGCCACAAGCTTCAAAACAGGCAGAAACCTCCAGTGTATCAAACACACTTTCTGGAGTAGGCCCAGAAACACTGGTCTGGGAACAGTTGTCTTTGTATTTGTGGGGTCTGAACTGGCAGTTAAACAGAACAAATAATAACGGAGTTTTAAAAGCCTGGTGGGATTTATAGTTGATCCACGTTAGAGGAGGAATATTTTACCTTTTTCGGTTGCTTACCCATAAAGTATGGGAAATAATTCATAAAAGCAGTGATGCCCATGTTTTCTGTATGTTTACTAGTGTATTCTGAATTGCTCTTTTCCTTTCTGGGATATTAGTTGGGTTGGGAGATGAAAAAAATATATGTGGCTAAAGTTTTATTCTCCTTTTTGCCTGCCTTTTGCTACGTACACAAATGTCTGATTTATTCAACTTTGCATCCTTGGATGTTTCTCTGTAAAAAGTTGGGCAAATGTCCATTTGTTCAAGTACTTCTGTATCATATGTGTCCACTTAGCATCTGGTAAGAGTTTCTCATCAAAAATTATCCTCAGGAAAGGATTTGTGTTGTAATCAATTCTTTTTTTTTTTTTTTTTT